GGGCACTGCAGATGCTGCTCAACTTGTCGAGTGCTTGCCTAAAATGCACAAAGCCCTGGGTTCATTCCTTAGGATGCCATGAAACCTGTTATATAGTGGGTTGGAGGTCAGCCTGTGGTATGTGAAATGCTGTCTCTAAAAACAAATAAACAATCACTACAGAACTCCCAATACACAGATTTGTCAATGTCCATTTGACAAATGTCCAATGGCATTTTTTGTCCAATGACAAAAACCATTTCAGTGACATACACACTTCGCTCTTCCCCACAGGTGGAAGCCAGAGTTTTGGGCTGCAGTGGACAGCTTTTTATTGGCCTTTTTTCTTCAGCCAAGGCTTCCTTCTTTCTCCTCTCCCCAACCTACGACCCCCAGAGCTGGGATGGGAGTAGAATGGGGGGGGAGGAGAGAAAGAGGAATTGGTAGGGGGTTTTGTTTGTTTCAAAATATCCATCTTAAATGGAGGAATCTAACTGACACATGGTATTGAATTTTAACCCACCCAGCCTGATTGGAAGTTCCTGGTCTGTGTGCTGCTTCTCTGGGTGAGGCTATGGGGTCCTGAGTGCAGGCTTGAAGTGTCATTGAAACTCTGGACTTGGGAGAACAAGGGTTCTTGCTTCCCTCTGGAAACTAGCTCATGATGGCATTGGTGCCCTGATCTCCAGCAGACAAGGCTGAATTCATGTTGCTTTTCGTAGGAAGGCCTGACAGCCAGAGATGGCTGGGATATTGCCAGCTGCTGCCACACTGTAACAGGAGGTTGCTGGCCCCCAGGGAGCTGACATTTCTGGAAACTGGGCCACTTCACCTTCCCTCTGGCTATACCAGAAACACTCTGCAGAGTGAATGGGGCAGGAAGGATGGGCCCTGTGTCTTTCAAAAGGAAGCTTTTGTGACCAAGGGCAATCAGGAGCCACCAGGAACTGGCAAACAGAGCTGTGGGAGGTGGGAAGGGATATTCCCAGCGGAAGGCAGAGAGCTTGTCTAAGGAGCATTTGTTAGCTGAATTGATCTGATTACTCAGGACTTTTTCAGCCAGGACTGGGGCAGACAGGGGCTGCAGTTGCTTTTCATTCTATTCAGTTTCTGTTTTCCAAGAATGAATATCAAGGGAGAGCTTTGATTAAACAAGCCTTAAAAAGGAGGCATGAATGCCAGGTTTACAGAAAGCCTTACTGAGTCTCTGGCAAGGGGCCACATGACACAATGTTTCTAGTCTGAAGATATTATCCCTTTCTGAGCACAAAACTGCGTGCCCATGAACAAAATGAGGAGACAGAAGGAAAAGAGAATTAGCTTAGCACTAATTATACGTATGTACACATATATGTAAAGATCATCAAGATCAGCATCATAGAAATTAAGGAAATTCTCATGCCCCTGGTTTTTGTTCCCCAGACCAATTCTGTCTGTTGCTGTCTGGCTGTTTTCTTTCCTGTAGCAGTTATTGAGACTGAACTCAAGACTGCATTGCCAAATACAGCATTACTACATTTAAACAGACATACAAAACGGTTGGCACGATATGTTGTTGTTTTAAGAATTTTGAGGCTGCCATGGTTGGCTTTTGAGACAGGGTCTCACTTAGTACTGCAGGTTGCCCTGGAATCTGTGGTGATGTTCCCAGCTGTGCCTCACGGATGCTGGGATTTCAGGCACAGAACACCATTCTTTCCCTGTTATAGGATTTTTCAGAGGTGAGAATGTTGGTCTCTCATCAGTGAGAAATTGGCAAGAAGAGAACCACACCATCGAATATTTAACAAAGACGCACTGAATGCCTGTGTGGGGCAGCTTCTGTTACACACTGGAACATGGAAACCTAAAGACACCTTTCCCTTCAGGAGCATGCTCTGTTCTCTAGGGGGCTGCAGAGCTGGGGATCGAACTCAGGGCCTTGTGCACATGAAGCAAGAGCTCTACCCCTGAGCTCCACCCTCATGACACGATCTTACATTTCAGCTGAACAGTACAAGTTACCATCCAAGGTGGGCCCAGCAGGTTCGAAGCATTGTCTTAACACCGTGGGGGGCTGAACAAGAATGGCACCCATAGGCTCAGATATGTGAACGTTTAGTCACTAGGAAAGGGAAGTGTTTGGAAGAATTAAAGGTTTAGGGGTGGTTGGAATTGGCCCTGTTGGAGGAGGCATAGCCTTGTTGGGGTGCGTGTGGCATTACTGGAGGAAGTGTGCTACTGGGGGTAGGCTTCGAGGTTTCAAAAGCTCATACTAGGTCCAGCCCCTGGCCCTTCTCTGCAGGATGTAGCTCTCAGCTACTGCTCCAAAGCCATGCCTGCCTGCCCTCTGCCTTGCTCTCCACCATGATAATAATAGACGAAGCCTCTGACACTGTAAGCCACCCCAGTGAAGGCTTGCTTCTGTATGATTTGCCACGGTCATGGTGTCTCTTCACAGCAACAGAACAGTGACTAAGACCAGCATGCTGTGGGTTCCTCCATGGGCCAGGCTCCATTGCTGCTATCCTGCACAAACTCACAGAGCTGGAAACGACGAGACCAGGAGTCAAATCCAGGAGGCCTTTCTCCAGAATCACAAACATAATTGACTATTCCAGTTTGTGACTAAAGGTTTTTGGTTCCTGTTATTGCCCATATTCCTCGTGGATGGAGTCCCTCACCTGCAACACTCTGTTCCCTCAGTTGACCTTAAGCTTTTAGAGGCAGAGCCTATTTGCCATGTCTGTATCCCAAGATTCCCACTGCTTAGAACCAAATAAATAGGTTTGTCTCCCGGAGTTTTACAAAACACATGCAGGAAGACTCTGAGTCTGGGGTATGAGGTAAATATGCCGGTTCTTCCATCACACCCAGCATGGGCCTCTGATCACTGAGACATGAAGATTTCCTGCAGGGAAGACCCAGCCCAAAGACACAGGATTGCTCTGCATGTGGGCAGCTTATGACCCAACCTATTGCTGCTCAGACAAAGAACTGGAGAGATGGTGGGGGCTTGCAAAGGTTTGTCTATAATGGACAGGGGGTGTAGTCCTGAGAGAAGCTCACAGAAAAGGGCCTCCTGGCATTTCCTCTTAAAACAGGGCAGGAACCCCTAAATGAAAACCAAGAGGTTGTTGTTAAATAAACCCCATGTCTGAAATGCTGTGCTGTTGGTAGCTAACTAGGCTGGTGAGTCAGTGTAATGGTGAGAGTCTGCAGGCACCCCATCCTGACCACACTTGATCTCAGAAGCTAAACAGGGTTGATAGGAGATACAAGGCTTTGAGGAAATGCTCAAGATTGAAAGAAGAACACAGTGTTGCCATTCCATTAGCACATCATCTTGAGATTTTGGAAAGTGTGTGTTTGCACAAAAAGACCAGGAAGTAACCCATCCAAATGATGAGATTTCACACGTGAATTCAGTTAGTGACTTTTAAATATTTTTATACCTTTCCCAATTTTTGTGTGAAAGTATGATCATTGCAACTAGAGAGAGATTGTTACATAAGCAGAAAGTAGGTACTTTTCAAACATGGTTTGAAGACTCCATCTTGGCCCCAGAGGAGACCTTGAATCTATTTTCTGGCCACTCTTCTCGGGTCCTAGGAACTCCAAAATGATCACCCCCCACATCTGTGGTTGGAGACCTTGGCTGTTGTGTCTTTGATCCTAGACTTTGGAGGCTATAGTTCTGTTTTCAAACCCTCCACTGGTATTGGTTGTAGTATTAAGGCAACTCCACGTAGTTAAAAGGGAGGTTTATTTTGTGGTGTAACTTACAAGTAAAGGGATAGGTTACAGGGTCTGGGAAAAATGTATTGCAGTCCAGCAGTGTTCTCTGGAGAACTCTGCTCAATCTACCTCAAGCATCCAGGATCCAGGAACCAAGAGGGCCGGCACTTCCGGATCTCAGGTCTTAAGGGCTCCTGTCTCAGCCCCACCTTGTAGGCGTGACAATTACCAAAGCCTCAATGGGGGTAGTACTTCCAGGTCAAAGCTGGAACAGCTGCCCACTGCACACTGGTTATCTGACTCACCCATCTAAGGCCTCAGGGATAGATCACTTCTCATCTTAGCAAGAAATAATGAAACCTTTTAACCTCAGAGCCCTTTGCAATAAAGGGCTATAAATTGTGTTCTCATTGCCCATCATATTTAACAGCCTGCATTCTCTTTCAGTCCTCCCAATGGCCAAGTGTGGAGCCATTGGTGTGGTCTCTAAGTGTCTGGCAAGGGAAGGAGAAGAACACATGCCCAGCCCTTCTCCTGCTTCCCTGACTCCATACTCCAGGCAAGGAAGCCATCTTGATGAGGAGCACAGTAGTGTCTTCCTGTGGGCTGGGCCTTAGTGGGTTCTGTGCAAGAGCCTGTGTGTTTCTATCAGATTTCATGAGTGGGGCAGACAACCATCAAGAGAGTGGCATTGGGCACTGGAATCAAGGATAACAAAGACCCTTGACTACCTAAAAATGTGGGAAGCCTGCTTTTATCAGTGGCCCTGTTCCCAGAATAAGGTTTAAGGACAGTGCATCCCCAACTCTTAAGTCCTGCTGTCTCCCACATCCTCAGGTTACAATTGCCTCTTCCCTTTCCTTCTCTCATTTCAATGAATGATGCTCGGGCACATCTTGCTAATTGTCAGCTCTTTCAAGGATAAACATAAGAGCTCATTCATGCTGGCATGGTCCTAATATCTAACATGAGGTAGTGTTGATTAAAGTCAAGGTATGGTGTCAGAGCCAGGGTAAGCAGGAGCAAGGTGACAGGGACTTGGAGAGGGAGATGAGCCCTGGCAACAGCAGCACTTGCCTGGGCAGGCCCTTTGGTCGGCGTTCATTGGTTGGAGCAGCTCTGTAGGGAGTATTCATCAGAGCCAGCGGTTCAGACCAGTTGCATCTAAAGGCCTTTCTCCTCAGCAACCATGACATCTTCCTGAATCATTCACAACGTTGTATAGACCGAGAGTGCCAGACAGGATGTGAGCGAACGCATGCGAGGGTGTGCTGCCATGATCCTCACTTTCTCCTGTTTTACAGCATTTCCTCATCTCCCCCTCAAAGAACTTCAGAATGTCTGCTAATGGCACCCTCTTCTCCACCACAGAACTGGACTTTGAAGCAGGACACAAGAGGTAACCTTGCCAATGACCTTCCCGAAGTATGAGGAAAATAAGGGAATAGCCAGATACAAACACAGGGCGGGTCCCTGAGCAGCCTGGAGTGTGGCTAGGAGTTCAGCTTTAGCAGGCCAAAAACCCTGGCAGGACACAGGTGAAACAATGGCGCCATGGTGTGGGGAGGGCATGCCCAGAGCTGGGGGCACTGCGTGGCGAGGGTAGGAACACGGCACCCAAAGGCAGCAGTGTGACAAGACAGCTCAGGCTTTGAGATGGAAGCCATAGGCCTGCGGAAAGCCAGGCGAGGCTCCCGGCTGGAGACAAGTCAAGAGACCTAGAGCAGTCATTGAGGACAAGGTGTAGCTCAGTGGAGTGCTTGCTTACCTGGTGTATGGGAGGCTCTGGCCTTCGAATGGATGAATAAAATGTGAGCCTCCTTTCCTGGAGAGTGGAATAGGTCCATTGCAGGGACATTGTAAGGCAGAGAATATGAGTTGGCTGGCTGGAGTGGACATCTGTCCAGGGAGGTAGTAGCCATGAAGAAAAACTCCAGACTTAAAAACTGAGGGAGTGAGCCGCATGGCCAGAGAGGGGAGGTGGTCACCCCTGGCATTTGAAGGTGCATAAGAAGCGTGGGGCTGGAGAGGGGGCCCGTTCACCCCAATCACTCCCTCCACTGTGCTCTCTTCCTCTGTGACTGTGTGAGCAAACTCTTTCTTGCACTTGGAATGTTTCCCTGACAGCTTCCATCTCCTCGTGGGAGTGAGAGACAGCGGGAATCTCGAAGCCTCCGCAGAGCTCCAGGTGACCATTGTGAACATCAACGATGAGATCCCACGCTTTATCAGGTAGGTCTGAGGGCATGCGGGGCAGGGCTCAAAGAGTCTGCTGCCACAGCTGTCTGGGACACATTTTGTGACACACCAGAGAGATGTGCTCTGGCCTAGATGAGAGATGAGAAATGGAAATCTTCAGTGTCCTTTCTGCCTCCCAACCTCATGTTCCCCCTTTGCTCGCCACACCATGGGACTGTGTGTGGGTGTGGTAGAAAGAGGGGCAAGGGCTGAGCACGGTGCTCCTCGAAAGTCACTGTACAAACACAGAAGATGGACACAAGGCAGGCACTTCTTTAATAACGTGCCCCACGTCAGTAATCAACCTGAAGCCCGTACTGGACTGTACGGCCGCTGGCATGCCGGAGTTTCTGCTTGGCTTGGGAGACCAGAACAACACCTGGCTGTGTCTGTTGCTTCTCACACAGCAGAGATGAGGGAAAGAGTGTGGCCATCACGGGCCCGCTGCACATGGAGATTCAGGAAGATAAGGGGATTTTAGAGGCAGCGGATGACCTTCAGAGCTGCCTGGCTCTCTGCTGCCCTGAGTGGGCACAGGCCCCAGCCACAGGGAAACAGCACCATCTTGTGCTCGGAGGTCAGCAGCATTAATGGCTGTGAACAAATATAGCACAAGCTACTCTACCAAACCCAAAGCCAGGGTACAGTTATTATTTGTCCATTAATAGCAAAACTAGGACTGGAAAGATGGCACAGTGAAGGGCTGAGGTACCTGCCCTCAGCCCCTACCCAGAGTCCTCTGAGATATGCTTCCCAGGGGCGAGGGAAAAGTGAAAAATTTCTATAATATCTTCACACACATGGGCCAATGCTCTTCATTCTATGTGCTCTTTATTGTTGTGTTCTTTGTGTCTTCCATTTTTATTCTCCTCTACATCTTTATTCTACAACTCATTACAAATTCCCAAGTGCATATATAGGTGTGTGTGGGGATGTGTGTGTGTGTGTATGCGCGCGCGCGCGCGTGCGCGCGCACGCGCGCGCGCGCACACACACACACACACACATCGCCATTCGTTAACAATTTGTGAGTTAAAAACGACAAAGTAAAGTCTCAGGGACAAGTATTTTGATAAGAGTCACACTTGGGAAAGACTTAGCTTAACTGGTGACTGACCACACCTGTGAGTTGTAAAGTTCTGGCTATCTCTTAAAGGGATAGGTACAAGAGTTACAAGGGAAGAAACTGAGCCAACGAGAGATCTGAGAAAGAGGCAAAGAATGTGTGTACTATTTTATGTGATTAATAATATCCAGACATGGTTGGTCAGCTAACAGCCTTTTTCAGTTAACCACCGGAATCTCAGGACCTATCCATAGTCTACTAAGCCTAAAATCTTGCATTAAAAACAAGTGTAGAAATAGATACAAAGTGTTAACTGTTTTTTGAATCAGAGTGTGGAGGTTCCAGTGGAGGAAACTTGGGGCAGCATAGGTGCTATTGATCTCTTGAAGGACTGAGATACACCAAGGCCAGACACCTGCACTATCACGTCTGGTTCACTGTAATTCTTCTGAAGGGTTTTGATCCAACAAGGCCAGGCACCTGCAATTCTGCTCCATGAAAGTTCTATGAGGACACTTTGTCTGACCAACTTTGCCTTGTCAGTGGCTAAGAATGGAGAACAAGACCTCTGAGTGTCTACAGTCCACATGGAACAATACACCTAATTATGAAGCATATTTTAGTAGGTTTCTATCCATAAAAATTGTACAGTTAAATAAAAAATCATCATCTTGACTATCCATAATTATGTGTGCTAATAAGATTGAGATGTAATCATGAGATTACATATACACGTTACATGGAAATGCACGGTGAATGGGGAGATATCATAGCTGTTCTTAAGGAAACAGTGCAGTTCTTAGCAAAGAGATGAAATGGCACATGAGAGAAACACAGACCAGGAGCAACTGGTCATTTATAGTCAGTAACCTCATGGCCTTGCCAGGTGGGGCTTCCCATCAAAGAGTCATTCATTTGGTGGGTTGACATATGAACACCAGTTATCACCTGCTGTATACTCACAGCCCTCAACAGCATAGCGGGTAAGAGTACTCATTGCTCTCAGGGAGACTAGAGTTTAGTTTTTCAGTATCTATAACTTCAGCTCCAGTGTAGCTGGAAGTTTTCTGCGGTCCCCCACCGGCCCCACAGTCCCACCCAGCCTGGCAGTCCCACAGCCACTTATAAAATAACCACTCAGAGGCTTAATATTATTTACGAATTGCATGGCCTATAGCAGGTTTCTTGCTAGCTAGCTCTTATAACTTAACCCACTTCTATTAATAAGTTGCCACGAGGACATGGCATTACCGGTCTACTGGCATCTTGCTGCTCCTTCGGTGGCGGCAGCTGGTGTCTCTCTCCTCTCCTTTCTTCTCTCATATATCTGCTTGGGTTTCCTGCCTGCCTCTAAGCAGCCTTGCCATAGGCCAGTGCAGCTTTATTTATCAACCAATCAGAGCAACACAAATTCACAGCATACAGAAAGACATCCCACAGCACCCCAGGGGATCCAACACTCTCTTCTCATCTTCTCAGGTACCTGCACCCACATGTTCATATACACACAGAGAGACATATGCATTGTTGATTCACTAACAATGCATAATAAAATAAATCTTTAAAAATACTAAAAATACCCAGGCAGTGGTGGCACATGCTTTTAATCCCAGCACTTAGGAGGCAGAGGATCTCTATGAGTTAGAGGCCAGCCTGCTCTATAGAGTGAGTTCAAGGACAACCAGAGCTACATAGAGAAACCCTGTCTCAAAAAAACCAATATTTACACATACATGTGCATATATATGTTTACTTTATTACATGCAACATATATATTATGTTATATATTTTATTATATAATTATATTTATGTGTTTTTGTGTATTTATATATACTTTATATATTATATATTTTTATATATGATATATATGTGTATACATTAGATGAAAATATTTGAAACAGCCACAAGCATGAGAGCAAGGTAAAGTGCTTGCAGAAATATTTTAAGAGGGCTGGAGAGTAGGTTCATTAGGTAAAGTGCTCACTGTGTTCAATCCCCAGAACCTATGCAAAAAGTTTGGGTGTGCTTGCACACTTACAGTGCCAGTGCTGGGGGGACAGAGACCGGCGAATCTGGGCTCACGGGCTAGCCAAGCCTCTTTGGTGAAAAGCCCTGTCTCAAAGAAGAAAACAAGTAGAGCAACATCCAGGGATGTTCTCTGGCTTCCAGATGCGTATGAACCTGTACACATAAGAATATGAAAGCACACAGAACCAAACATGTTGTAAGACTGATTGGTTCTAAGCCCAGTTTGTTCCCAGGCTAGCCTTGTGCCACTTTGCAAACACGGCACAGAAGAGAGACTTCTGGTCACCCACCCTAGCTCCAGATGTGGTGTCTGGTCACCTACCCTAGCTCCAGATGTGGTGTCTGGTCACCTACCCTAGCTCCAGATGTAGTGTTGGTCACCTACACTAGCTCCAGATGTGATGTCTGGTCACCTAAACTAGCTCCAGATGTGGTGTCTGGTCACCTACACTAGCTCCAGATGTGGTGTTGGTCACCTACACTAGCTCCAGCTGTGGTGTCTGGTCACCTACACTAACTAGCTCCAGCTGTGGTGTCTGGTCACCTACACTAACTAGCTCCAGATGTGTTGTAGCAGCTACAGCAACAAATAACCTTTCTTGGGATGTTTCCTTCAGTGACTGGTGCTGGGTTCCAGAGCGCCTGCAGCATTTCTGCAGATGGGATGGCCTAGAAACAAACACCAGTAGGTTGAGAAACGGTTGTGATATACAAGTTCAGATTCAGGCTGAGGCTAGCACACAGCTCATGGACCAAAAGATCTAGGAAGGTTATAACTGTGGGGTTGGTACTCATAAGGCCAGAAATATTCCCCACAAGCACAAATGAGAATCACATTGACAGGATAGTGAAGAGAAAACTAACTTCTCTGGCACTAATCTGCTTGGATCCATGTCTTCTAAAATGCACTAGTAAGCAGTTTATCAGAGAGGGGAAATGGCCTCCCAGGGGCCCCTTCAGACTCTGTGCTTCTCACTTGTGATTTTAGAGATGGACCTCTTAGGCTCTTAGTTGGCTTTGCTTCAGTGTTCACGGATGGTGTCAAGGTGTGTCTGCAGGAGCCTGTCCTCTGGAATGGGGATGGGGCAGGACACTGCCTCATTTCACTCACACTATTCAATTACAAGCAGCCCCATCCTCAACAGCCATGGGTTGAAAGGATAAACCTGGAGTCATACTAGATGCTGAACTGAGAGCATGCCTAATCCCTTGAGTTTCTTAATTTCTCTTCTCTGAAACTTCTGCTAGCACTAACCGTATGAGATTTAATCTTCAACTTGACCCAGGTATACCAAGTCCTGAGTGTGAGGCAGCCAAGGAGGCTGTGGAAACAGCTCTGTGTCTTGGTGCCTAGCCAAGGCCGCCACAGCGAGTGCTGTTTCTGTGGTGAGACTGTCTCCTCATTTCGTCCCTGGGTGGAGACAGATGTCTGTCTGACTACTTTGTGGTTTGGCTGTGTGTCGGGGGAGGCTGTGGCTCATGAAGGTTGTAAACCACTGACATATTCACCTGTGCACAGTGGTGGCTGCAGAGCACTTTATCTTAGACATCAGCGAGAAGCTCTCCCTCTGCCTGACTCGTCCTGTAAGGGGTGCCTGGGAGTGCCTTCCTGAGTCCTCATTCACAGGGAGGAAGTTACCGAGTCACACAGGGAATGTGATCACCAGCCCCACCCACTGTGGTCCTGCACTCTGGCAGCCAGGGGTAGTGCAGAGCTTGGTGGGGAATGTGAATGATAGTCATATTTATCCTCTCTGTTTTTTTTTTAAGGTTTATTTATTTATTATGTATATGGTGTTCTGTAGTTGGAAGGTTTCTCTGGTCTTGCCTGGCCCTGCAGTCAGGACAAATCTTTCCCACTTGTGTCCCACAGCTGCTTATAAAATAATCACTCAGAGGCTTAATATTATTTACAAACTATATGACCTATGGGTCATGATGGCTTCTTGCTATCTCTTATAACTAAACTCAGCCCATTTCTATTTCTATTCTGTGGCTTTGCCTGTATGCCCTTACATGCTGCTCCCTGGACGGTGGATGGCATCTCCCCTCTGCCTTTCTTCTTCCTGTCCATCTGCTTGAATTTCCTGCCTGCCTCTAAGCTGCCTTGCCATAGGCTAATACAGCTTTATTTATCGACCAATCAGAGCAACACATATTCACAGCATACAGAAAGACATCCTACAGCAGTATTCTGTCTGCATGTATGCCTGCAGGCCAGAAGAGGGCACCAGATCTCATTACAGATGGTTGTGAGCCACCATGTGGTTGCTGGGAATTGAACTCAGGACTTCTGGAAGAGCAGCCAGTGCTCTTAACCTGTGAGCCATCTCTCCAGCCCCTCTCTGTTTTGATAGACCTGAAATTAGACCTTTTGTTGGATAATCTTTTTTGCAGACATGAATCGTAGATCACATACTTAAACTTAATTTTCCGCCGCACTTACTATCAGGGCAACCAAGAAAACTGGTAAGCATGAGGCACTCTCCCCAACAGCCAGCCTGTTTCTTTCATGGTGACCCGGCACAGCCAGTGTGGCCTATACAGGCTTCAGAGCAGGGTTTGAACTCACATCCTAACTTGAACCAGATATTTCTCTTTGTGGCAGGGCTGTCCCATGTGAAGGAGTGTGTTTAGCAGCATCTCCCTCAACATGGAAAGAGCAGTTCCCTCCCCAAGTTGTGACAACCAAAAGATGTGTCTAAATATAATCACCTCCCTGACCCAAGTTCAGAACCACTGCCTAGAAGGTATCAAAGATGGAAGGCAGGGCACGTTCCTCCTATCATGTCTTCTTTCTGTCCTAGGCATCCTGGGCTAATCCATCTGACACTGGAGAGAGTGTGCACATCCCTGTCTGTCTCAGTAGACACTCAAGTCTCCCATCAGTGCTCTGGGATCTGCATTTCCAGAGCTTCATGGTAATGCTGGCATTGCTGGTGCTTCAAGTATTGCAGAAATGAGGCCAGGCTTTGCAGGCAGCAGGGCATCTTTATTGCACTTTTCTGTTGCTGTGATAAAACATCACAACCAAGCCTACTTACACAAAGAGGGTGCATTTGAGGCTAACAGTTCCAGAGGATGAGAGTCCATCACCATCACTGCAGGGAAACAGGACATCAGGCAGGCACAACAGTTGGAGCAGCAGCAAGTTCTCACATCTCTAACCCCAAAGGGGAAGCAGAGATCACACTGGGAAGGGCGAGTCTTTTGAGACCTCAAAGCCTGCCCCCAGTGACAGACTTCCTAGGCAGTGCCACATCTCTTAAGCCTTCCCCAAAGCACCGACTATGGAGCAAATATTTAAATGCCAGAAACTATGGGGACATTTTGTCCTTCAAACCACCAGGCATCTTTGTAATCCTGGCTAGGAAGTTACTAGACCCAACCTAGTGGATGAAAGAAAAAACGTCCTGTATTAGAAACAGGGTTCCGTTGGTTGTAGAAGACAAGGCTGCCTCTTTTATCTGGCTCTGGCTCTGGTCCCTGCTACCCCTGGCTCCTCTGGCTCAACCCACTGATGTCACACACCCTGAGAAGGGATATGGCAAGTGAGAATGAAGGCACAGGGCTTGCTCGTGGGACACCAGGCAGGGAGGCCCATGCACTGGAGTGACTTCTTGGACAAAACAAGCTTACTCCTTCCCAACTGGGTACATGGTGGGAGAACCCCCTTCCCCATGGATATTAGGCTCAGAATTTGGGGCAGGGCCCATGGGGTAGGCTAGGGTGTAGGCCTGGCTATAGATGGTCTCTGCTTCTCTTGAGTCTGTTTCCTCTGGCCTGCCCTGTGGGACAGCAGTAGTGAGGCAGCAGAGTCTGAGCTCTGTGAAGGCAGCATTTAGGGCAGAGATGAAGCCTGCTTCCCTTCGAGGAGGGACCAAAGGGGAAAATGGCACCTTGGGAAAAAGGGAAATTGAAAGTGGTTCTGCCACTCTGGAATGATCTCACTATGGCCCTTTTACAAAAGCACAAAGGTCCGAGAAAGGTAGGTAGGTAAGCTGGGCACTTGGAGTTCTGTTGCACACGGTGCCCCTTGAGAACAGTACCATGACTTTGCTGACTGGCAGGGGTGTCTCAGTTGAGAGAGCTGATCTCAGGATGAATGCCACCTGGAAAGATGCCTAAGTTCTATGTGAAAATGTATCCTCAGGCAAAAGAAGAAAAAAAAAAAAAACAAAGACCAGAGATGCTAGAATAGACAATATTAGGCTTCTGGCAGATTCCGTGGCATGGAGTCATGCACGGTGAGGAAACCTGCAGTTCTGAACGGCACGTCCAGATGGGGTCTTTAAAAGGATCCAGACAAAAACTGGGAGGAGAGAAGCTGACTGAGTAGATGAAGTATCTTTATGCAAGAGGGTGTTAGTGATAGGAAAAGGCACCAGGCGGGCAGGTAGGCAGTGATTGTGCGCATGTAAATCACTGCAGAACAGCCTGGCACACCTCTGCATCCACAAGGATGTGACTTTGGGAAGCACAGACACGAGTCACCCTCCTTTCGGCGGCTGCGTTCTCTGCATGTTGATGCAACTCAAGCAATGCAGTGCTATATTTAGTGCACACCAAAATACCTACTGTCAGTCCGCACCCTCCCCTCCCCTCCCCTCCCCTGCAAATTAGCCACGTCTGCTGTATTTTTATTCTAGTCCAAGGAGAGACTACTCCATCCCAGAGGAGCTGCGTCCAGGAACCATTGTGGCGAACATCACTGCGGAGGATCCTGATGACGAGGGCCTTCCTAGCCACCTCCTCTACAGCATCACGACCATCAGCAGCTACTTTGTGATAGACCAGTGTGAGTCATCGCAGCACCCTATCCCGCATCTTCTAATGCACCCGCTTGAGTGGTTTTGGAAGGCTTTCTTCCTCTCTGGCACTTGGCCTGCCTTTCTGTCCAGGCTCAGCCTTAGTTGCCAGGGAAAAGATGTATTAAAGGCAACAGACACTAGCCGAGACTGTGGAGCCTGCACAGGGCTGATGGTGAGCAGGGAGTCACTCGACACCTTCATGGAGGAGGTGAATTTCTTTTTAACTGCCACTAAGGTTAAATATAAATAGAACTCACATATCTCCATCTATGTGGAAACGAAGACTCAAGGACATGAGGGAAATTATATTTTATAGTTTGTTTTGTTTTTGTTTTTTTGTTTTTTGTTTGTTTTTTGTTTTTTGGTCTTTGTTTTGTTTTGTTTTGTTTTGTTTTGTTTTGTTTTGTTTTGTTTTGTTTTTGAGACAGGGTTTCTTCTCTGTTGCCCTGGCTCTCCTGGAACTCATTCTGTGGACCAGGCTGGCCTTGAACTCGGAGAGCTGCTTGAGTGCTGCACAGTGATTTTCTCTTTCTTTCTTTCTCTCTTTCTTTCTTCCTTCCTTCCTTTCTTCCTTCCTTCCTTTTTTTTTCCTTTTTGGCAAGGTCTTGGTATGTAGCTCTGGCTGGCCTATAACTTGCTATGTACCAACTCATGGCAATCTTCCTGTTTCAGCCTCTTGAGTACTGGAATTATAGACATTAACCACCAGACTTGTCTGGAAAATTGAATTTTTATATCAAGTTTCTTAAGAAAGTAAAGGGATAATTATGATTGGAGGACAAAGTGTCTAAAACTAGAGTAAACTGTGCAAGCCCTGATGTTCAGGTGTCTGTCCTTCTAGATGGTGATGCTTACCATCTCTGGGAAAATCCAAAGGAGGACAGAACAAGAGTGGAGAGGCCCTTCTGCTTCTGTGGTTATCTCAGATGTTAGGGTGCCATGTTGTGGGGCAGCCCTGAGCCCCATTACTCTCTGGAAGGTGCCTGTAAAGATGTTCAAGCTGCCTGCCCTATCCACACATTTCTAAGGATTCAGAAGAATGATATGAACACTGAAGTAAAATGAAGGCAGGTGTGTAAATTCACTGTCTTCAGTAGCTGCGTTAAAAATTGAAATTACTCTTAAAGTCCAAAATACTATAATTACAGCATAATTGATATTGAAAAGTAATTGAGATATTTTACATTATTTTACACTTATAGCATATCTCAATTCAGACTGGCCCCATCAGGGGTTAAACAACTACATGTGGCTAATGGTGGTACATTGAACAATGTCTCTCTAGATCAGCTTGTAGATTGTCGGCAGTTGTGTTCCTGTACGAGCAGCCTAGTGCAGAGAGTGAACTTCCTGTCCTCTGCAACAGCCACCTTATTGGGGACTTTATACTTACCAGGCATTATGGTACTTGCACAACCCAGTGAAAGGAAAGCCAAGGGCTAGAGAGATACCTAGACAGCTCCAGTGACTTCCCAAGATCTCTAGCTCATAGGGGGACTTTGATGTCCAAGCCAGATGATTCTAGAGCCTGTCCTCTTAGTCACTCCATGAATCCAAGCCACATCAGTCCATTGAACTTCACCTTACATAATGCTTTTGTGGAAACCAGTATTGGACAATCCCAGACTGTGTGTCATTGGCCTCATAAACTTTTGAGTATTCCTAGTCTGGGCCTGGGGAAATGATGGGCATGTAAGGCCAGCACCTGGCTTCTATCTCTGGAAACTTCTGAAGGCTTTTGACATTGACATCCTCACACAGCTAAGAGTGTAGAGATAGATGATCTCAGTTGAAAATTCTCTTCACTCTGGTGTTGCAAAAACGGACTTTTAACAAGTACACACACACACACACACACACACACACACACACACACACACACAAATAAATACACAGTGGTGCTGGGGATTGAATCCAGAGCACTGTCCTCTAGACCAATACTCTGCCTCTGAGCTCTGTTCCCCTCCACACACCCTTTTTTGAGTATTTAAATTAAGACTGGTTCCAAGTAATAAAAATGAAAGCAAATCAAGCTAAGCATGAGACTGGGGGAAGGAAGAGAAGAAAGGAGAGGAGGGGAGTAGAGGGGAGGAAGGAGTCAAGTGATCAGGACAGAGGAGAGAGCCTTTAGAGCAGGGTTAGGTCAGGTGTCAAGTACAGAAAGGCATGTCTGTATAGGCTACCCCCAGGGTAAGCCAGTCATCATTCTAGAACAGCCTTTTTCTGTGTTCTCATGTCCAATGTGCCTTTATTCTTCACTTGACTTCTAACCTTTGCCCTCTCAGTGACTGGGACAATCCAAGTGGCCCAAAGGCTGGATCGGGATGCAGGCGAACTGAGACAGAATCCCATCGTTTCTCTGGAGGTTCTGGTGAGGGACAGACCCTCGGGGGGTCAGGAGAACCGCATCCAGATAACTTTCACTGTGGAAGACATCAACGACAACCCTGCAACATGCAGAAAGCTCACCTTCAGGTACTCGTGTGTTGAAATGTGTTCCCTCTGGGTGGCCCTTGACCTCTGGGCTCCTCCGTTAGAGGGTAACATTAGGGTGACGACTCTGCAGGCAGATTCGAAGTGCGCCATTTTGTACAAAGCTCTGTTTGTTACTCTTCTTCTTTCCTCTCCTTCCCTCTTCATTATCTCTTTTTTCCACTTTGTGTTTACAGTTATTCTTCCATTTCATTCCACTTGCGCCACAGGCCCTCTCCGGACTGTCTTTTCTTCGTTTATTGCCACCAGACGTGAGAGAGTGCCTGGAGCAGGAGTAATGGAGTCGGGATTAGTAACTAGGACCTCGCAAAGACACCCACAGTAAATAACGAATAAGCCAAACCAAGCACTTGGGTGAAACAAAGGAAAACGTCTGATTTGTCTTTCACAACTTAGTTGCGTACAAGTGAGAGGGAAATACAGATGCATGTGGGACATGAGTTATTTTCTATATATTCACTTGTTCTTTGACTCACAATTAATTCACAATAATTTTAAAATAAAGTCTTTTAATAATGATTTATTTTCATTTTATGTGTGTTAGAATTTTGCCTACATATATGCACTACGTGCATGCCTGGTGCCTGCAGAGGTCAGAAGAGGGCGTCAGATCCCCTGGAACTGGAGTTAAGAACAGTTAGGTGTGACCCTCCATACAGGTGTTGTTAAGAACTGAACCCAGGTCCTCTGGGAAAGCAGCAAGTGCTCTTAACCACTGAGCCTTCACATCAACCCATCAAGTCCTTTTTGACTCTGCGTTACCATGGTTTTCTGTTTGTTTGTTTGTTTGTTTGTTTTCTTAACCAGCATTCTTTTTGCTATTTTGACAATAAGTGACAAAATTGGGAATTCTTCCATAATGGCTTCAGTTCTGTATTTTCTGTGCTAGCCAGACTTTGGAAGTCTGAATGGGGACAGTTTTGGGGTGCAGTAAACCTCAGCAATGACCTTTGTGGGCAGAGTGCCCTGCATCTAAAAGAAGGCTGGAGGTCAGAACAGGGCTCTGTTTTGATGACCCTATAGACAAAGTCTCTTGGGTTATCTTGACTGGGTTTTCAAGTTTGCCCCAGGTGACTTTGGACAGATTGAATACCTAGCATGGCCATGCAAAAGACAGAGACCCAGATAGAGACCATCGGGGTAAGCGATAGCTGTTAAGTTCATTTGTTATGTTTATGACAGCTCCCCATTTTCACAACCTGCATGCCCTGCTCAGTGCTAGAGGACCAGTGTGACTGCTCGGAGTCTGGTCTGGACCCACCTGCACCTGCACCTGCCCCGCGCCCCACATGGCTGTCCGCTACTTTCCTCGTAATTCACATTCTCCTGACCAGTGGGGGGGGAGCGGGAAGCTGGGGGTTAATCAACTCCCTGTCGCCTCTGCCTTCTCCACCCTCTGCACACAGCACTCCCTGGCCCTCCACCCTCTGCACACGGCACTCCCTGGCCCTCCGTTCCAGTTTCAGGGATTTCTCCCTCCACTGGTACTTCCCAGTCTCTGGGTAGCACGCCACTCTTTTTTGTTGTTGTTGTTTTGTTTTTTGTTTTGTTTTTTGAGACAGGGTTTCTCTGTGTAGCTCTGGCTCTCCTGGAACTCGCTTTGTAGGTCAGGCTGGCCTTGAACTCACAGAGATCCGCCTCCTGAGTGCTGGGATTAGAGGCGTGCATCACCACAACCAGTTGTTCCACTCTTGTTGGCCCTGAGAGCCCTTGAATTTTCTACATACATCTATACACCCCTTTGTAATCATCTCTTTACTAAATGTCCTAGAAGTATCCTCATTTGCCATCTACTTCCTGCTGAGACCTGGTTGACCCAGTCACAGGCTGGACCACATTGTAGACTGTTCTCCAGATTTGAGCATTCCGTTCTCTTATATTGGCATGGATGGGTGCCATAGATAGGACGTGACTTCCACAACACCACAGGTACAGTCTACACCCCATAATCTGCTAAAGGAAGTCTGGGTTCTATAGATGGAATAAAGCTTTGCAGAGTCACTGACTGCCCTTGAAAATCTTCATTTATGATAGCCCTCTGCAGTGGTCCCAATGCATCCTGGGAAATTCTTTTTATCCTAAGCCTTTCGGCTCTTTGTTCCTCTACAAGGTTTGGGGTGGGGGGTTGGGGGTATCAGTGCCTGTAGCAGGCTGTGCTGTCTCAAGCCTCTTTGTTTTCTCTTTTTCTCATATCTGTTCATCGGATATTTTGGCTTCCTGTGGTCTAGAGTCCCTTGAGGTGGTAGGACAGTTTGCAGACTGTGTTCCATATTACCTGGTGAAATCACATTTTGAATGTCATAGGTCCTCCAGGCAAGTCCCCAGAGAGTCCTACTCTCGGATCTTCTCTCCAAATTAGCCCAGAAGTCCATCACACTAAGTCAGTAACTGTGCTAATTATATTCATTTCTGAAGATAATTCCAAACAATGCAGTCATCACCCCCAGGCTTTTCCAAAGAGGGTAACCCCCAGTTGAGCTGCTGAAGGCTTAGCAGTGAGGTGGGTCCTTGAAAGGGCTCCTTCCTTGGAGCTGTAAAGAGCTCAGCCTGCGTGACTCCTGAACATGCGGACCTGTGGGACTGGGAAGCCCTGTCCGTGTGTCCGCCATCCCATTCTTGATCCCATCTCCATCCCAGCCATCACTAAGCCAAGCACGAAAGCAAAACAAAACCCAGGACAAAGGAAAAGGAGCTGCACAGTCACTGACATTTATCCCAGAGCACTGTGACTGGGAGTCTCTGCAGATGGGCTGGAGAGTAGGAGGGCTGGGTGCCAGCACTCATTAAGAGCAGCTGGGTGATAGTTGGAGGCCCAGAGGCTGTGGGTGGGCGGGGCCTGGGGGAGGCCGGTCCTTTCAGGCTCCCACATCTTTGCACAGAGAGCCTGTGTCATTCCCAGGTTGATGATGAATGGGCCCAGGGCTCCAGTGGAGGCGTCAAAGGCAGTGAGATGGCCTCTGCTCAGGTTGTAAATTGCCCAGCACTTGGCTGAAAGTGCTTTGCAAGCTGTTCATGAACAGGAGGCGGGTCTAGAAAGCTGCGGGGCAAGTCACCTTTGCTGGGACCTGATGGCTGTGAAGGAGAGAAGCCCCTCCCCTGAGAGGCAGGGATTGATGGATGAGGAGGAGTGGCTTTCCAAGAAACATGTTTGTGAGAAAAACACCAAGCGTCAGAGAAAAATGAAAAGAGCATGTCAAAACTGCTGATGTAGCATGAAGTGCTTGCCTAGCACGCAGCAGGCCCCAGGTTACATCTTCAGCAGCACTACCCATGGGAGTGCACATGCATGTACTGCACCACAGCACTCGAGCACGCACGCATGCACGCGCGCGCACACACAGAAAGAGCGAGTGTGAATGTGCACTCTGGCACCAGGATCCTGAAGTGTTCAGATGATGCACTCCCCCAGGTCCACAGTGCTGTAAGCAGAGCTTAGATCACAAACACTCATGGTCTAGATATAATTATATAATTGATGGTGTTGCAGGGAACTCACCAGTGATGACCATTCAGACATAGTGTATAGACAACTGAAAGTGTATCCTAGTGGCTGGGACAACACCCAAGTGTTCGAGAACCTGGGTGGAACCAAAAGTGTCCAGAACATGGGGTTTTTAAAAGCAGAAACCACATCCTGCATCTCAAAGGCATCACAGAATTAAGCAGTTTGAAGCAAGCAGTTTTAACAGAAGCTAAGGTAAGTTAGCTAGGACATCCTGCCCATTGGTTCCTAGAATAGAGCTGGGTAGTTTTCCATGGCATTCTCCGTGAAGGAGATCAAATTCTAGTTAAACCTGGAATGGCCTTAGCAAGAATACAAGATGGAGGACCCTCTACGCTGTCTTGTCCCATCACATTCCCCACTGATTCAATGGCATGAGTCAAATCATTGACTTATCCTGTTCTAGGAGGACACAGTTGGTCCTGGGGACCAGTAGCTTAGTTACCCATGCAGTTGAGGATGCAGGGTCCCTCTGTTAGCCCAATCAGGATAAGAATTAATGGTCCAGCTAATCCTGACAGTAAGGTGATCAGCCATGGTGACCAAGTAAACAGAGACTGATAACCAGTTTCCTGACCTATGCTTCTCTTTTTCCCTTTCTTTGAGCTTTTCCCTGACCATGGCAAGGTTTTCCCTATTAAACATAATTGCTTGTGATGGAAACAGCAGATTTTCCCCAAAGCCATACATAATCCTCCTTGTTTCATCAAGAGAAGATCTAAGCATCTTCAATTTTGCAGAACCACTTCTGCTAAGGAGTCTACTTGCTTCTCTAGTCTTGATATGAGTCCTCTAATGTCCCTTAGTCCTGGTCCACTTGCTTAGTCAATCACTGATTATGAGGACTGATGTTCCTGTGGCTGTTGGACCGCAATACCGGCTCCAGTCAGGAGCTGGGCAAGGATGAGTGCAGCTCGTCGCTTTTCCCATTGCAGCCTGGGGTTCATGCTTCCTTCCCCATTACATAAGCACACCAGAGCAGGATGTGTACCAGGTCACAGAGCAGGGACTTAGTGTTTTGGAATGCCTCTGAGGAGGCACATTCAGTTAAACCAATGGTACACGCCCACCAAGTGGTCTCAGGGGCCGCAAAGCACTGCTGCTGATGAGAAGAATTGACCTAGAGAGTGGAAAAGCAAGCATTGGAGTAAAGTGAGGCTTTTAAGTCAAAAGTTCCGGACACCAGGAAGGTTCCAGACCCCTGTAAGCCCCCCAGTATTAGCTTAAGCTGTTCCCAGCTACAGTTGTTTTTATTTGCTGGTGGACCAATGGTCTGGTTGGTCCCTCTCCCTTGTATAGTAATGGGTTTGAGGGTTCAGGCATAGTCAGCAATCCTGACCAATTTCCAGCTGTGAGTGAGTAGACAAACTGTGAACCTTGTCAAGGGTGGAGAATATGGAAGGAGGATTCCCAGCCCCAGTGCAATGGGCCTAGTGTGGTAATGCTTTTGGTGCAGATTGCAGCAAATCTCGCAGAGGGA